TCATGCATGGGCCCATGGCATGGAGCTCAGGGGAGACAGCCATGGAGACAGGAGTGTGGGAGTCCTCAGCCTATTGATGGTGGACAGATTACCTTGCCTTGGGAGAGAAGGGAATTTAGAGGAGGAGGGGGATCCTGTGTCCTGCAGGGTCCTAATGCTTACAGATGAGGAATGATGGGACTGTCCAAAGACAAAGAGGATGTGCAGCCAGACAATGAAGGGGAGATGGAGAAAGACAGTGTTCTGGACTCCAGGTAGACAATGTGCTACAAAGAGGAGGAAGGGTGAGCTGTGTCCAGTGCTGCCACAGGTCAGGAAAGATTACAAGTGAGTGACCAGTGACCTCTGCAAGGGGAGGTCATTGCTGATCTTGATCAGCAGTGCTGAGGTGAGTGAGGCCTCCCTGGAATGGGACTGAAAAGTATGGGAAGAGAGTCAAAAAGTCAGCTTCTTCTGGAATTCTTTAAAGGGAGCACAGAAATTTGGTGATCCAGGCCCCACGGTCAAAGGAGTGTTTTAAAGGTGGAAACCTTAAGCTTGGGAATGCTTGTGTGAATGGAGCAACATCCTGGTGGATTGGGAGTGATAGGACCCAGGACATCCCATGGGAGCATATGTGGGTCTTCTCTCTGCATCGCAGTTGGGACTTGCAGCTCACAGGACCTGGCATGGACTCCTTGGCTAAAGGCCTGACCGTGAGAGGTGGCCCTGGGCAGTCTCACACCTGTGAGTCACCCTACCCCACCCTCCCTGGTCTAGCCAACAATGGGGCTTCTGTGCCACTGCCCCATGCTCCAGAACCACACTGAGACTGGCTGCCACTCTAAATAAGGACACCTGGCCACAGACAGCCTTCTGAGGGCCCCACCCCAGCTAGACCTGGCCTCCCTGGATCTCACCAGGTAAGCTCTTGGCTCCTTTCAGACTCCAGTGCCAAGAGCCCACTGAGCCTGCCACTGCCAGCAGTCAGGTACGTCCTATCAACTCTGGGCACTTCTTCTAGGCAAGGCACCCTTGGCTGGGTTCCAGCTTTCCTTGCAACAAGATGACTTGACTCAGGACAGTGTGGTCATCACTCTCAAGGAACAATATAACTTTGTATGTGTGAAACACTGCTTTACAAAAGAGCCCTTCTGCACGATCAAGGCAAGGTGTGGGTGCGGGGTGAGGGCCAGGACATTCCTGACAGGCACTCCCAGAAGGCTGCCTGGAAAACTCAGGCTTCTTTCAGGCATGGAAGCAATAGGGAAGGCAGAGAGGGGCCCACAATCCAGGAAGTCAGGGCACTAAGTAGGGGGTGATGCATGGTGTGTGCAAATCATTATCCTAGGACCTAAAGTCAAGAAGGGACTTGGGGGAAGACAGGGTGGATTTTTACTGGTATGACAGAAGTAACACAAAGAACACTGGTGTATGGCAGAATCTGGGAGGTTTGCTACAGGAGGTGCTAGCACCAGCCTTTGAAGGCCAGGTGGATTTGGCAATAAGCAGGGCTGGGCAGGAAGCCGCAGGACAATTGGAGTAGGTTCAATGGCAGGGCCAGGAGTTTGAACCAGATTCTGCAAGTAAGGCAGCCACAGAAGGCTCTGGTACACAGGCATAACAGGCATAACCACACTAAAAGATGCTCAGTAGAACCAACACTGGAGGCTAGGAGAGTGGGAGGCCATATTAGTGGCAGAGGGAGAAAAGAGGCCACATTGAGCTCCTGTCATATACATACCAGGATTTGGGGACTAACAGGAAGGGGAGGGGAGGTGTCTAACATGATGCTGAGGTTTGAGTGAGAAGGGATAGGTGTGTCATCTGAGGGCTGGATGTAGGAGATGCTATGGGTGGGAGTGAGAGGGCTTGGTTGGCTCAGGCTGAATTTGAGGAAATGTGGATCTCCCAGGCAAAGAGGCTGGAAGAAGTCCAAAGCAAGGGTCTGCAGTTCAGGAGTAAGGTCCCAAACCAGTGGTGAGGTAGAAAGCCAAGGAATTGGATGACATCGACAAGGGGGGCACTCAGGCAAGAAGAAATGAGTCCCATTGGTCAGACACTGAGGCTGCCATTGTTCTAAGGCTTCTGGCCAGCTTCCCTCACCTCTCATCTGTTCCCTTTCACCGCCCTGCCAGGCCCAGCCTATAGGCTAGCTGCTCCAGCCCCCAGTCATCCTTCTGTCTGTGAGCTCCTCAGCCCTCACTATCCATCCCTCAGCACTGGACTTGTGTCGCCACTTTGATGGTGTGCCTAAGCACCTTGAGGGATGGATGATGGTTTGCCCCTGTCTGGGTCTTTGGACCCAGAGCACCTGTAAGGCACTGATTAAATAGATCTTCCATGAAGGACTGACTCTTTGATCAATTGCTGGACTGTAGGTCAAAGAAAAGAGTACAGAGAACTTGATTAGTGATAAAACAATTCAAGGGTGCTAGGCACACAGCATCCACTCTTCTCTTCCTGGCTTATTCACTCATTGTGACCTGGATCTGTACATATTAGCATGGACACATTTTGAAAACACTGTTGAGTAAAACTAACAAGTCACAGACATATGTAGACTGGCATTATCACCAGTACTAGCTACCAACTAGTTTCTGGTTCTGCCAAGTACAGGTGGACTGTACTTCCCTGTTCCCAGGGGCTTGGTAAGGCCACATGAGTTCCTCTGGCCAATGGACAGGAGCAGAAGCCCTGGGTGGAAGCTTTAGGAACAGGTACTCAATGGACCAATCTTTCCTTCTTCCTCTCTGGGCCTCTACTGGCCTGAATCCAGTGAACCCAATGAACAAGTCCCATTGCAAACCCTTCTCCAGCATGTACTGGAATGGAAAAGTAGATACTCATTTTGAAAGAAAGAAAGGAAAGAAAAGAAAGAAAGAGAGAAAGAAATGGAGAAGGAGGAACCAAGTCTAAGCAATACCCTAGTATGACGCCAATGGGTAGATATGAAGGATGCATTCAGAATTTCAGGGCAGGGGCACCCTTGGTGACCTCATGAAACAGTGGTTGCATAGTTGATCAACTGGATGGTCAGCAACCCTAGCCCCATCCATGAGATGCCCTCTTCTCCTCCCCAACAATTTCAAATACCCCTGAGGGGTGACAGCAGCTTCATAAACCCCTTTTAATGCAATTCGGATATGATATGGAAGCATGGGAATGACACTTCCCACAGCCGACAGCAGAGTGAGGTATCCCAGATGGAGGCAAGGAGCTGGACATGCTGGTGATGGGCTCCTGTGAATCACACCCTCCCCACAGGCCTTACAGGATCTCCCACTCCCCCAAGGTATGTTAATGTCTTCTTCAGAGACCAGGACATTGAGAGGTGGAGAGGTGGGGGATAGTCACACTTGGACAGGAGAAAGCAGAACCACTGCTCCAGGGCACAAGTTATGTATGGTCCTCGAAAGAGAGGGAATCTGAAACAGTGAGTGACTAAGTGACAACCTGCATAGGACATAGAAGAGGTTGGAGACAGTGTTCAGACTGCAGAAAGAGAAGGGGACTCATATGTGACCTTTCACCTTTCAGATGAAGGTAGAGATGTCCAGCAGGCAGCTGGACAGGGAGAGGATCCTGCCAGTCACCTGTCCAGAGGCTTAGCCCAGAGACATGGCAGCTAGGGGTCTTGTGGAGCCAGGTGTCCATTCTGGAGGCACCTGGCTCTTCAAGCACACACACAAAGCTGCAAAGATACAGGCTCCTTACCACCAGTGAACACCATGCAGCCCCTCAGAGCCCCAGAGATAGTTCCCAAACCAGTGAAGAGGGCATATCATAGCCACTGGATGCATGGATCCTGAATCCAGTCTCTGCAGCCTTCAAAGGACCTAGTGGCATGAGAACACAGTAACACACGAGGGCGCTCTAACCAAACGGCAGGAACAGAAAACCATGGGCCCAAAGCAGAAAAAGAGGATCAGCGTTTTGAAAACACCTTTGGTTCATTGTACTTCAAAGGAGCCACTACTGGTATTTGTTTGATGTTTGTCATCTCTGACCCTGTCCCTATCACTGTGATAACCAGTACTCCTCCTGAGAGCCCCTCTGGCCAGTGCCACCAGAGGACACCAACTGGTATCTTTGGGGAGCATGGCACTCTTTGCCCTCTTCCCCAACCTTCCAGAGGACTCTTGCACCTGCCATTTGAGACACCTGTCACTCTGACCCCATGTTAGTCACTTGCAGGTGCTGGAGAATCAGAGTCCCCCAGTGACAGTCTGTGTTGGCCAAGACTCACAGGGCTTGTCTTGCTCCAGAAGCCAGTTTTCCTCTATACCATTGTCCCTCAGGATTGTATAGGATAGGGACCACCCTGGTCACAAGAGGGACATAGACACAGGACCCTGAGACAGACACCAAGGCACCTGCTCACAGACACCACATCCTGGAAGCAAACACGTGGCCACACAGAACACAGCTGGCACAAAACTTCCACAAAGCACATCTGAAGCAAGGGTGTCCTTCTAGATAGAGCCCACAGGGTCCCTAAAGTGATGAGTTCTGATATGTGTAGCACATCAGGTTTCCATAAATGAGCACAGAAGGCAAATAACCAGAAGATTCAAAATCTTCTCTAACCAGTGAGCCGAGGCCCAGCCAGTCATAACGGGCAGCTGTGTAATGTGCTCTCTGCCATTCAAACAGTCTCATGGGCAATTAGGTATGACCTGGGCAGGACCAAAGGACATGGTAGGCTACATAGGAGCAGAGAGGCTCACCGTCACCCCCTTTGCAGGATTGAGAAACCCAGCCAGGAGCTGAGAATCCAGGGTGGAGAAAGGCCTGGACCCCTCAGATCCTCAGCAAACACCCAGTATCACATGTCCCCACCAAGGAGCCCCTGGCAGCATTTTCACACAGGGGTGGAGTGGACTTCAAGTTCCATAATTTGGACAGGCGCTGCAGGAACCGTGAGCACTGTCCTGCTGAGAGACACCTGTGCCCCCCACACAGATGGCGCGGGCTCTTACTGCACAAGGAACAGACTGAAAACCAAGTGTGCATCTTACCCTCCTTCGAAGATTTTGACCCTCGTCGGCTCCCCTCTCTTGGAGGCAGGCGCATCCTCCTCTGGCTTCCCTCGCTTCTCCTCTTCCTTCTCCACTCTAGCTATGTCTTTCGGGCCTTCCGGGGAAACCAGCGATGGGAGGTGCACCTATCCACCGCAGGGATGACAAAAACCATAGCTGGTGAAACTTGCACTCTGGGTCAGAAGTGTTCTAATACCACTGTCTTGAGTGGTACTGCAATCAATCCCCCCCACTCCTTGCTGGAGAAATGCCATCAGCCCCATTTGACAGGATCAAGGAGCTGACCCCCCACCGGCGCAGCCCCTCTCCATGTTCAGATTCTGGCCTGCTTTTTCAGGTTAACCTTCCTGTAGGAGTGGGGTTTGTTTTGTCTTTTACACTGGTGTTGGAGCTACTGAAGACAGGTCCTTATCTCACCCTCCTCAGTCACCTTAGCACCCAAAACAGGGCTGCCTCAGAAAAGATGCTTAAAGGATGTTGAACAAACAAAGGAAGGCTCTACTCTGCCTATGGAGGTTGACTGGTGCACTTCTCACTGATAGATCAGAAAGCCAAGACCACCCAGAAGGTTAAGGGCAGAGCTGGGAGCAGAGCACAGGTTACGGCTTCCAGGACCCTAGCCTTCCTGAGCTAGGACCAATAGCCGGAGCCAGACAACACTGACCAAGGTCCAGAGAGGCTGTGCAGGCCTTGGGCTGCTGCTCTCTGGGAACCCATTCTGTTTGTAAAGCTTTGAGGCTCAGTGAGACTGGACTCCATGGGGAGGGCTGGCATTGACTTTGTTCTTCTCAGCATCTTCCACTATTCCAATAATCGCCTGGGGGGTTGGGGTGAGTATTCTCTGCTCTTGTGTAGGAAGCAATGGTGCCAAGCGGGTGACTGGGGCCAGTGGGACTGAGTGAAAAAGCACCTGACTGGCAACCAAAGGATCTGAGATCCAGCATTAGGTAGTCACTTCATGCCGAGCTGCCCTGTAAGGACTGCTTCACCTCTCTGGGCCTCGGTGTCTGAGGGTAGGTTTAGCCTATCTTAAAGATCTCCTGTAGGGCCAACTTCTGTAATCTCTTCAGACTGGAGGTAGGGAGTGGAAACCAAGCATGAATTTAGACTGCTGCTTTAGTAGAGCAGTACTCACGGGTTTCCAGAACATGCTATTTCTACTCCCATCTGGCTTATGATCCACAGAGGGACCAGGGCCTATCAGGCTAATGGTCAGTGACTCCCTTACAACCTGCTATGATGTCTGCACCACACTGGAGGAGGTTGGTTTCAGTGGTAAGATACCACTTTACCAGGAAACACAGTGCTACAATTGAGTAGGAAACCTGGGATCCACTTTAGCTTTTAATGATAACACTAAGAATAAGCTAAAGACATTTGCTGGCCGTCAATGTGCCAAGTACAGTTCTAAGCACACTTTGCATATTTTAATTTATTTAATTATCTCCCTAGTCCTATGAGATAAGTATTATTATCCCTATTTTACAGATGGAGAAACCAAGGCACAGTAAGGTTAAGTAACTAATCCCAGGTCACATGGCTAGTAGGTGAGGTGGTGGGATTCAAACCTGGGCACCTGGATCCTTGTTCATAATCAGGATCAGTGCTGTGGTTGTCAAAATGACCCCCAAGGACAAAAAAGGAAGGAGAAACCTAAGGAAATGAATGTGATGGCAAAGTGGCCTTTTATACAAGTCCAGGTTTCTCCAGGGCTTACACACACAAACACGCACACACGCACACACACAAATATGTATGACCAAACTCAAATGTAACAGGGTGGCACAGACCTGCAAGAAGATGGTTAGGAAAAGCTTTGAAATGCTAAGATCAACTAAAGGATATCTTCACAATTTACTAACAGAGAATAGAAGCCACATGGTGGCAACTATCTGCTCAAGGAAACAGAGAACTTTCTTAAAGCATTATCCAAAGATGGGCTGGGTTGTACCAGGAGATGGTGAGAGATACGCAAGCAGAGGCCAGAGAGAGAAGTAAAATTGTAGACCAGGCAGTTAAATCAATGAACTAGATGGGTATACTTTGGCAGGAAACATGTCTTTGAATCAGAAGGAACATTCCAAGGAAAAGTTTACAGGTTTTAGCTCATTTTAGGAAAGCAGCATTATAAACAAATGATTGTCAACTCCAATTGAACCAAATGAACACTTTGTTTTGCTTAAGTGGCCTGTACGATTCTTCATTAGGGAATAGAGGCAGCCGAGGTCATTTATAAGGGCTTCAGAGTGAGTTCTGGTTTTGAAAACAGTCTCTACCATTTACTTTGTGGTTTCGTGCAAATTACTTAGCCTCTCTGTGCCTTGATTTTTCTATCAAATGGTGATTTTGCATCTTAACTTTCACGGTAGTTGTGAGAATGAAAGTAAAGTTTAGCATAGTAGGTGCCCCCGAAGTTATGAGTATAATTATAAGAGCATCTTGCAGTAGCCGCAGCTAGTAGGAGACACATCAATATGATGTTTATGGTAAAAAAAAAAAAAATCTTGTTCAGAAAAGTCTGTAGACTGACAAAGATATCTAAAGAAAAAATTTGGAAAGCAGTTTGTGAAGAATATCCAGCTGAGTTAAGGACAGATTCAATGCACAATATTCACTCCATGATGAAATAGGAAAGTATGAATATGTGGGGAGTTATAGAATGTAGTTTTGCTCCTCAATTTACAATATGAGTTCAGTTTAGGGGATCTGTGCCTGATTTGGTCAAAGCAACCAGTTGGAAGACATACTAGTAAGCTCTTTAAATTTGCAATCATCTTTTAAGGTTTTCTTTCCTTAAATAATTTAAAGAAGAAAATAGACTCTTTAGAGTCAGACTGGGATTGCCAACCATGTTCCAAGTGTCCTTAACCTCTCTCAGCCTCTGACGCTTGGTTCCCTTATCTATGGAGTGAAATAGGTAATGCTGCCTCAGAGGTGAAGGCAAGCAATGACTGGGTTCCTAAACCCAGAACAGTACCTGGCATAGTGAGGCTGCTCAACAAAGATGACCATTGGTCATTTCACAAATGCCATCATTATCTGAATCCTCAGGCTAGCCCTGTCAGGATAGAGCAGTGTCTTTTGTTTATGCAAATTAGAATTATCAAAGTTCAAACTTGCTGAGTTTGCAGGGGATCGGTTCATTTTATAGCTCCTGATGTAGCCTCAGGTCAGAGGTAATGAAGGAGCAAATATGAGCCTACATAGCACATCTGGGTCAGGTTGTCAGTGACAGTGCCTCCTTCAGGTGAAGGAGACCACTGCAGCTCAGCTCTATTCACTATCTTACTTACAGAAAAGAAGATTTTTTCAGGAGTGGTTTGTGTCAAATGCTAGCATCTTTGGAAATGGGAAGATTTTAAGTGATAGTAGAGAATAGAAATAGCAGATGTGGAAGTAAGCAAAGCAGGAAAAGCCTAAAAAGACAAGGGAGAACCATATGATAAAGGAGAGGTAAAAAGTTCTAAAATTGCTTTAGGCATTCTCATCACCCAAGTTTCACAACTCTTTTGGAGAATTACTTTTTTCCTTGCCAAGACTGAAATTTTGATTTTACAGTAGAAGCTCATGGAAGAGAAGGATGACTTTACTAATACATTTATTGAAATGTATTCCAATGATGCAAGGGACATACTGACAAAGAAACCCAATAAATATATTTCCTTGTAAAGTTACTGATCACAGCTGCCATAGAGAAAATCTGCCCTCCTCACCCAGTTCTAGTTCTACGAACTTAACCTGAAGACAACGCAGCCTTAAAAGCTCATTGGGGGGTTTGGAACTCAGCAGTAAGAAAAGCAAGACTGAACTTACCTCTGTCATGCGGGGCTTGCGGGAGCTGGATGGCACCAGCCTTCCTGCTTCAGGATGCGGAGCTGTGGCCATGGTGTATGTCTCTTTGCTCACCTTCTGCTTAGACCTCAGGAGGGACAAAGCAGCTTTAGTGGAAATCCCCGGAAGGTTGGGGTTGTACAAACTTATGCACCAACCAGCGTAAACAGAGGACCTCCTATCTGCATGCTGGATGTGATTTGGCTTAATGTAGTTTAAATAGCACCAACTGACATTAGTGGTCGTGTGGAGGCTGGGGAACTGCAGTACCTTCTTTGAGTCCGTACCTTCTTGTGACTTGGCTGGTCTGCGGGATGTTTCTGACAGAGGCAGAGAGCTGGGAGGTGCCAGGGGAGGGAGATCGAGTTGTTCCTTTGAATCTTCTTTCTTCATGCTTAGTGGGGACAGCCCTCTTCGGTAAGATTTGCCAGGTGGTTGGACATACTCCTTCAAAGCTTCTGATCCAGGGGTTGACCCATGTAGTAATGTGGGATGAGGGAGGGGAGGAATTTCCTTTGGGTCAGATGGATCTGGGGACAGGCTGGACAGGGTTTCTGACTCCCTCCTGCCCCGGCCCTGGCTGCCCAAGTGGGATTTCTCTGTCCTCTTTCCGTCCTCGGTATTGGTCAGCACCACACTGCATGGTTTCACCAGCTCCAGTTTCTCATCAACCTTGGAAACCTCCTCTTCCTTCACCCTTTTTTGTTGCTGGGTTTCCATGGTAAGTTCAAGGCTGCCTGCTGGGGAAAGGACACGCTTGCTTCCTCCAGCTGTGGATGAGCACCCCTCCAGGCTCAGGACACCCTCTGGTGACAGGGAGGTGTCTTTCCTTTCAGGTAATGTCACAGGCACTCTCAGGTATGGAGTCTGGAAACCTTTGCCCTGCTCTTCACTTAGGCCAGATGGTCCAGGTTCAGCCTCATACATAGCTTTAGATGGGGGCTCCTCACACTTGGGAAGAGCCACACTTGTTGAGCTGCCTTGGGACTGGGTGACCAAGATTTGAGAAAGGGTGGTGTACATCGCACTCCCATAGGACGGCATGTTGGTCTGAATGCGGACGGGCACAACCAGGGACACCATGGTGTCTGGACAGGCAGGCAAGGCCAGCAGCGGGGCTGATGTGGATGCTGAGGAGCTGGCTGGGGTAGCCACAGAAGGCAGTCGGATGTCACTGCTGTACTCTGTGCTGATGGAGGGGCCAGAAGGTCCTGCTGCAAGCGGAGCCAGGCTGGTTTTGACTGGGGGCAGATGACTTTCCACATCGCCAGGGAGCTGCAGCGCAAACTGGGATTGCAGAGGCAGGAAAAAACCCAGAAGAAAGTGCTGAAGAGGCAGGGCATGGCATGGGGAGAAATGAGGGAGGCTGCCGGAAGGGATGTTGGGAGGGTGAGGCAGGAGCTGGGGGAGATGGAGCTGGCCTGGGTGCAGAACAGTAGGTTGAAGAGGAAGTGGCGGGGCTTGGAATAAGGAGGGAGAGAGTGGAGGCATGGAATAAGGGGAGGAGAGAAGGCTGGCCATGGCCTGTGTGGAGAAGAATTCTGAAGACTGTCCTGGTTCATGCTGCAAGAGGTGCTGGAAGGAGAAGAGGGAGACAGGTGGGGCAGGTATGGCTTCTCTTGCAGAGGCAGTTGAGTGACAGGGGCATGGAACACCTGCAGGGCTTCTGTGTAGGGTGGGGTGGACCCCAGTGGGGGCCTGTCCTGCACCTGGGTCTTGCCTCCCGGGTGCCCACTATGTGAGGTGGCTGCCAAGGAGATCTGGGACACCAAGCTTTTGGCCGAAGGTTTTCCAGAAGAGGGCTGTGGTTCCTCGCTGTCCTGCCTTCCCTTGGGGGTAGCCTCTGGCTCAGTTTCTGGAGGTCTGCTCAGAGAGGCCTGTCTCACCAAAAAGCATTTTCTTCTCTCTGGAGGGGCTGGTGGGGCTGGTGGGATCGATGGAGTGGCTGGGGCTCCTGCAGAGGTGCCTGACAAGGACAAGCTACCACAGTCAAATGATTTGCTGCGTGTCTCAGTCATGTGTACAGAATGGGACACATTAGGACTCTGCTCTGAAGCTGACCTCCGCATCTCTCGGGCCTGCGGGTGGTGGCTGGGGACAGTCAGCATGTGGGTGCCCAAGGGTTTGGAGCGTATGTCCAATGAGGCCCCAGGGGCCTCGGCTTTCCCATGGTCATCTCTGTCGAATGAGGCTGAGCGGCTGGAGCTGCTCAGAGAAACACTGCTTTCCTGGCTCGGGCTCCGAGACAGAGGCAAGGATGACTCAAAACTGGACTCCCCTGATGACTGGGCCATCTCTGCCAGACGCAGTCTCTTCTTCTTGGGTGGCAGCTTCTCAGCTGGGAGTTGGGCAAGTGTCTGGCTGCGCTGAGGCCACTGGAACTCCTCTGTCTTCTCGGGCTCCTTTGGAGGTGGCTCAGGCTCTGTGTCTGGCCGGTCTGCCTCCTCAGTCACCAGGATCTCGGGAACCTGAATGTTAGGCTGGCGGACCAACCTAGACTGCAAGGAGTGAGCTGAGCGTCCTTGCGGGGCAGGCGGTGGGGATGAGAACTGGGTCAGAGGCTTGTCTTCCCCTTCTAGGCCACTGGGCTGCTCGAGAGGGTCAGATTTCTCAAAGGAGCTGGTGTGCTGGATGACAGAAATTTCTTTGGACATTGTTCTCCTCTCTTTCCCTGGATCTGACCCAGACCCTGGCTTGGGAGTCCTTGGCTGGAAGCTCGTGGGTCCCTCCAAAGAGGGCACTGATTTACATGGTTCTGCTGGTGACTTGGTGGACTCCAGGGGAAGGTTCCTAGTAGTGTCAGATGGCCCAGGGCTGCCAAACTGACCTTTTGTCAACTCAAAGGCCGACGGCTCTTCCTCATCCCCAAGACTCTTCTCTTTCCTCCTCTTCCTCAGCGGAGTGAGTTCCAAGGTGGCCCCCAGTTTATAATGCATCATCTGGGACCATGGCTCACGCTCTGCCTGACTCTTTTCAGCTTCAGGAGATGCATGAGCACCTGCAGAGAGGGGCTTTGTAATCTGGAGCTCCGAGCAGTAGTACTTTTTATGGGCTTCGTAGTTATCCTTCTTCTTGTACCGAGCACCACAGATGGTACATTCATAGATCACCCCTTTCATTTTCAACCCCTTCTTGGTCTTTTTGGTCAATTCACTTTCCTTGGGTTCTGGTTCATCTGAGGGCTTGGAGGCTGCATCTTTGCTGCTTGGTCCAGGCTCCTCGGAACTATATTCACCTCCCAAAGGTAGTTCGATGGCCGGCTGGCGCTTCAGCATCCGGGGATGAGAGGTAAACACGGGACTGCTGCGGCTCGGGGCCTCGGAGTCGGTGATGTGGTCGTCGAAGGAATAGCTACCACGGAAGGTGTGGTGGGGGGTGCTGATAGTGCAGGTGGCAGAAGGCATTGAGTGGCTTCTCAGGAGAGGCACAGGGGGGTGGTGCTAGGGGGTGCTGGAAGCTCAGCAGTGATTGTTCCGGCTTCGTCTTCTCGCTGTGGGATGACAGGGACTCCCGATAGAGGCTAGACTTGGGAGACTCCATGCTGCTGCGCCTGGTGAGTGAGCTCCTCCTTGGCTTCACGCTATCAATCTCACTGGTGTCCACCACAGCCTCGTTGATGGTGATGAGCTTCGTGATGTGCTCAATCACCTGTGTACGGGGTACCGACAAAGGCACCAGGCTGGGCTTGTCTTCAGCAGACAGGGGCAGCAGGGGTTGGGTGGAGGTGGCTGTTAACATGGTGGTCCGTTGCCCAATCCGCCCACACTTGCCGAAAATGATCTCTGCGTAGGACTTAGCATTGGTGTTTGGGGGGCTGACCTGCTGCTCAGCACTCTCAGAGCGTGAGAAGTACCCAGACTCAGTGCTGCCTTTGCTGCTTGGGCTCAGAAATGCCTGCTCGTCAATCACCTTCTTCCTCTCACTCAGGCGAAGGGCCAGCTTCTGCTTAATTGTGTGGGTGTCTTCAGGTTTGTGGCTCATGGGATGCTCGGATGAAGGTTCTGCAAATGGGGTGGGGTCCTCGAGCGAGGTTGCTGTGCTGGACTGGGACAGGGAGCAGCGTTCGTGGCTGGAGCTGTGGCTCCCGGAGCTGTACAAACCACTGGACAGGAGTGGGTGCTTAGGTCTGGGGGAGGCCTCTGTGGAGGGGCCAGATGTGGTGCCAGTTTCTTCTTCAGAGTCTGTGCTTTCTCCCTCAGTGGGCTCCTCAAACTCCTCCCCAGGAATCCTTTCCATCTCCAGTCCTGGAGGGAATAGCTCACCACCTGCACCTGAGGCCAGGCCTGCTTTGATGCGGTGGGCATGGGACTTCCTGTGCTTATAGAGGTTACTCTTGGTCTTGAAGGAGAAGCCACAGGGGCCACAGGGGTAGGGTCTCTCTCCTGTGTGCGAGCGGATGTGCTTCTGTAGCACACTAGGCTTGGCGCAGGGCCGGCTGCAGTATTGGCAGATGTACTTGCCTGGCTTCTGCGGTTTCCTCTCTTTCTTGTGTGCCTCTTCTGCAGGCTTCAGGGAGACCTGTGAGGAACGGGGCACAAAGACCTTGGGGATGCCAGGCAGGTCCTCATGGGGAAGGATGGAGGTATGGGAAGGAGGAGCTGGCTCTGTGGATGGAGCCCAGGGGCTACAAAGGAGCTTGAGGGTCCAGGTCTCATAGGGTCAACCAGCTGCCACGTGGACCCCTCCAGGAGATGCTCTGGTTTTCCAGGCGACATGAATGCTGGTGTCAGAGGGTGCTGCGGAAGCTGTGAGATGTGGACAGAGGCCTCAACGGAGGGCCTACGGGGGGCTTCGGCTGCTGGCCTGTTTTCTCCTGAGAGCCTTCCCTAAGGACTGATGAGGGGCCTGGGAAGGGCTGCGGGGCTAGGAGCTCCTGGGGGGCGCTCTCCTGGGTGGCAGCTGTCCCACCACCTGCATATGGGGTACTAGAGGAAACACTGGTCTGAATGGCCTCTCCCTTGGTCAGTCGCTTCCGGGGACTTCCCTCTGTCTTCTTGGTACCCTTGATGCTTTGTTCAGGATCCATGACCTTCACACAGACTTGAGATACTACTTAGGAAGGGTCGGGCAGGTTGCATTTATGAATAATCCAAGTGTCCCAAGGAGCTGTCCAGCTTTGGCCACATGGGTCAAGAGCTGTGGAAACGGACCCCAAGACAACTTTGGGAGCTTTTGTTTTGTTTTGTTGTTTTTTATTTATCTGCAAGTGTCACTGGCTGCTAGTGGACTCAGAGCACGTCATTGGGGCCCAAGGTATTCATACTGGTGAGGCATGGCTGTCTACTTCACAGACAGAAAGCACGCCAGTGCTTCCTGCCTGAATGTCTGTAGTGACGTCATGAAGGATGTCAGCATTGCCATTGTATTGTTTCAGTTGGCAGTGGCAAGTGGCCCCCACAAGTCCCCCGTGTGCTATGCAAATGGCTGAATGCTGGAGACGTCTGTGTCCATGGCCCAGTCATCCCTGGTCCTGGCACAAGAGGTGTCACACTGGATTCTGGGAGAGGCTCCGTCCTGGCCTCTTCTCCCCTTTAGTTCTGTGTTGGAGATCAAAGGCCCCAGAGGAGAAGTCACACTCTTCTATGGAACAAAAGCACATACAGAGAAACATACACACACACACATACACAAGAGAAGAGAGTTACTGTGACATGCTACAGCCTGGGCAACTGGGGCTCAGAGTCAAAACTAGTGAGACCCCTAAAAGGTTAATAAGAGAATGTTAACCAGATGCAGCACCCAAGCTCCCTGCACCCCAGTACTGCCTGTCCTAGCCTCACTGGCCTCTGCAGCAAATGTCTGTTTCTGACACTGGCTATGTGGGACATTGGAGGCCAGAAGCAGGGCAGGCTCTGGAAGTGCAGGGCAGTCAAGACTGGAGGCCTGGGCTCTTGTTCCCTTCTGACCCATTCCAAGGGAGCTTGAGCTCATCAAGTCTCTGCTGCCTAACCTGTGAAATGGGCAACAGTAAGTCCTGCCTCTGCTGTACCTGGGGGCCACAGTGGGGTTGGATGAGGCAATGGATGTGGACTCTGGTGGATGAACTGCAGATGGTGCTAAGGCCAGAGCAGGAAGAAGGCCTGTGGGTGTTCAGGGTGAGTTTTCCAAGGGGTAGATTATTTTGCATTAGTCATTCTCTCTGGCCCTGGATCTGAAAATGTCCCCAAGAGACATTATTCATCTTTATTTCCCCTTGCTAGCCTGGTCTGCCAGCTTGTGTTTAAGGGCAAAGCTGAAAACCATACCACAGCCCATGGGAATTCACACTTGGACATGGCTATGGTCATCACATTGACCCAAACAATGCACAGGAAGATCCTTCTGGAAGGTACCTCCAGCTTTGCAGCCTTTTCTTGTTCCTTTGTGTACCAGGAAGGCCCTAGAAGTAGCTCCTTGACAAGGAGTCCTTGCCAAGATGGGGAACAAGGCTGGTACCTGGTCTGAGTGGACCCCCTGTGTGTACATCTCTCAGCCAGCTGGATGCCACATCATCTGGGTTCTCTGAGTTCTAAGGCATCCTTGGGACCTTCTCCCCAGAGGTGTGATCAAAACTAGACATCACTGTGACTGTCTTGCCCAACCTCCTGACTTTCCAGTTGAGAAAACTGAGGTCCACAGAGAGCAGGTAGCCTACCAAGGCCCTAGGTCCTTGTTTTTGTAGTGCCAGGGATCCCACCCAGAACCTGTACAGGCTAGGCAATTGCTCTACTACTGAGCTACACTCCCAGCTCTTGTTTTATTGAGACAGGGTCTCATTACGTAGCTCAGGCTGGCCTTGAACTTGGGATCCTCCTGCCTCCACCTTCTGAGTGTGCCACCACACCTGGAAAGGTCCCAGGTTTCTAAGAGGCAGTGTCAGCATACTATCAAGGCAATTTGTCACTCAGCCCTTTCTCAGGAACTCCACTTCCCCATCCTGAGTGAAGCCAGTGTTTCTGTGCTTTTCTCTTTTCCTGTGAGCATATACTGTCCTTAGCATACTGACCCCACGCTCCTTTCATGCCCTCGTCTTGCTGGCAGGGCTTGAATAACCAACTCACTGCACTCTTACAGAGTGCTCAGAAGATTCACAAATCTATGCAATTCAACAATTTGTCTCTCAAATGGCAGGATTTCAGACTTGTGACATGCTATGGAGGGGCAGATGACTCCATCTTTTAGCTAAAAATAATACCCTAAAAGTTTACTTCTTTTCTGATTTTTAAATCTTGATTCACAAAGAATTCAGTGTAAGGATTATAACAAAACATATTTATAGAAGAACAAACTAGATATACAAGAAACCTGTAAATGAGAACAACAAATCAGAGCAAAGAAATATAAATGGGGCAGAAAGTTAGGGTTGGTGGAATAAAAAGAACACTACTGAATCAATCAAACTATATGCTGCTATATGTTTTTATCTGAGCTTCTTGGCAATCAAGGAGAAAAGCAAGATGTGGTCCATTGCAGAGTGCTTACAGCCAGAGAAGAAGAGAGGTCTAAGCTCTTCGAAAGAAGCAGAGTTTATGGAAAAGAACTTTCTCTTTTTTTTGGTGGTGGTACTGGGGTTTGAACTCAGGGCCTCATGCTTCCTAGGCAGGCACTCTACCACTTGAGCCCCTCTGCCAGCCCAAGAACTTTTTCGTATAGTACTTTGGCCAGGGCAGGAGATGATGCAGGAGATCATCTGATTTTTGTCAATGGAAGACCACAACTCAGCAAAAGCTGTTCTTTGAGCAGTCAAATCCCTCCTTTGACTTACACAGAGAAGGCCAAATGTGAGAAGGAAGGGAAATCTCTTTCACTACACCATAGTTCACAGGGTAGCCATTTAAGATAACATCTAAATTGGCACACTTTTGAGAGTGAAAGGGCACTACTAGTAGTGATAGAGGAACAGCAGGAATAAATCAAGACTGTCCCAGTCAAACAGGGATAAGAGGTACCCTGCAATACGTGTCCTGTGATGGAAACCAGGTATAATGCTAACTTTCTGGGTGTCTGGTCTGAACTTTGGTTCTCTGTTGTGGGAACTGAGTTACACCGCAGTCTCCTGATGGAGTTCTAGAGACTGGTTGTCTAATTCAGTCCCCTCACTTGATAGATGAGGAATATAAGGAGGGATTTGCCCTAAAGGATTTGCCCTAAAGTCACATAGTAATGGTGGCAGGGGTGGACAATCCTGTGCCTTGGGATCTCCCAGCTATTCTTTTCCCCCACCTCAGTGACACTTCTGTGGCTTCCGTGCACAATGGGCACTGCAGTCTATGGTTCTCTGTTCTAAGAACATTAGATTTGCAGTGAGGAACATCTGGGAGTATCGATTTGCACGGTAGCATTGGCCTTTTGACTTACATCCTAACATCACTGTGTTGCCAGATGGGAGAGATGGCAGTCTGGGGTATGACCCTGATTCACCTATCTACACCAAGGTGGGCAGAAGTGCTGAGCCATTTAGCACTGGATGAGGTGAGAACTGTTCTCTGTGCTGGCCTGGCTGCACCTGTGTGTGTTGGGAGAGACATCTGGGTGCTGTGCGTGCACAACAAAGGGCTGACTGTACTCACTGTTTCTATTGACCCTTTCATGCAAGAATCTCAAAGCACCCCCAAAACACTAGCCAGTGGTGAGCATTCCTTCTTCATTGGATGGACAGACTCTGTGGCATGCCTGAGTGGTGACATGATCATCTGAGGGGGGTCAGTTGGCAGAGGAGGACCCTACATTGTCTACTCCTGCAGTTCTCCCTCTACTGAGCCACAAGGCTCTCCAACGTAGGTAGGGAAGCCCAGAGGTTTGGGTTCAGTGTAATTCCTAGGGCCAGATGAGAGGGGTGGGGGAGTGTAGAGGGACAGGTGACTCTTGTGTCATCAGGTAACTCACTGGGCCTGCACAAGCTGCCTAGAGTCAGCATCCAGACTAACCCTGGGAGCTGGATCTGGCTGGCACTTCTCCAAGGGAGGCACCTCCCCCTGGCATCCTCTGTGGGAGGAGCCACAGGACACCTCTGCATTGTTGGCTCCCAGAGCACAATGAGTGGAGCCTGTGAGCACCTGGACACCCCTTCACTCTGCATACCAAGCACCCAGGCTACAGTAGGGAAGGATCACATGGGTCCTCTGTCCAGGGCTGGGCCTGTCTGCAGCTCTGCTCTACTATGTCAGGACAGGTGGAAGGTGCTAGATACAAGCAGTCCTAGAGGGACTACAGGTATGGAAGCCAGAGAACATCAAGATCTAAGAATTCCTTAGCCTTGGAATGTGTCAACTTCAGATGTGGCAAAACAGGTGTTCATAAACTCTTTCACTCCTTTAGAAGATCCAAGATAGTCACTGTGACCAAAAGATACTAAAAACATGCTCTTTCCTACTTTCTGTGGCCCTGAGGATGTGCATAAAATTTTATCATAAACCTGAAATGACAGAGAAAAAGCTGCCTCTCCAGAGAATTAGGGAGGACCCCTATAAGTCACCAAAGAAATGGGGCAGAGCTTCAGAGTCTTCCTTTCTGAGCCCTAGGCCAGAAAGAGGATGGATGTCTTCTGCTGCTGGCCACAAAATGGCCTCAGGGTCCAAATCGCCTGCCATGGAGGCCACGGCCCCTGAAAGCTTTGGCTTAGAAGCCAATTTACAATGGTGAGGTGAACCTGAGTTTTAGCAGCCACTTGGTTAATGTATCAGACCATCTAGCTCCCCTTCCAGAAGCTTCCACAGAGCTAGTCATTGGAGCACCTCAACAAGGAAGAGGGCAGGGCTTGCTGAGGCTGGAGCCACCAAGGCCTCGAGGAGTGGGAGTTGATGGGGGAGCCAACAGGCCCAAGGCCAGGAGGCCTGAGGCCTGAGGCCTGAAGCCAAATGGGAAAGCACCTTCTGTATCCAAGGTTGAGACCACATGCCAGAGCCAGAGTGGACACCCAGAGGCCTTTCCCAGGGGAGATGGAGCTGGCCTCTATCAGGCAGGCAATGCTTCCTGGCAGGAGGTCAGCTGGAACCTGCCTCAGGCTCTTGCCAGAGAAGCCAAGTGAGATAAGGCCAAAGCAAGATG